AGTAAAAGCAGACTAGACAGGCTGGAAGGGCACAACAGAATCACAGAGTGAGATAACCAGGAGCTGGTCAATTTTCTGACAGATGTATGGTGTGACAAATATCTAAGGTCTTAACATGGACATGGAAATGACTCCTGTAGGTGTTGGGGTCTGCAAATATCAATTTCCACAAAACTCTTATCTGATTTTATTATAATGAATGCTGTCAGAAGATAGGTAATTAGACTGACTTTTAATCTCAATTTATTCCTAGACACAAGTTCTTTATCCGGTGATGATAAAACCTAAACATTAATTGCTACTTTATTTGATTATGGTGTTCATCCAGAGTTTTTTTTTTCCAGCTTTAATTAAATACCAATATGGCAAATAAGGATTTCTCAGTGCAGTGGAGGAAGTATATATACCTGAAGACAAACAGTATGTACAATATGGTTCCCTATTAATTCTACTTGTATTTGAAGAAGTGTAACAAGTGAATAAGAAACACTGCACGTTATTCCTTGATTAGTTCAAATAAAGCTTGTGATTGAGTTGTCAGTGTTATTAAAGGAGAACTATGGGTTAAATGTTTTTCTCCATAGTTCTCCTAAGGGGAAAACACAAACGGGAGGACACAAACGTTAGTTTGTGTCCTTCCGTGGCAGAAAGCTCAGTATACCGTGAGCTACAGCTCGCGGTATACTGAGACGCCGCAGCCGGGACTGATCCTGACATTACTGTTGAGATCCACCCAGCTGCCTGATTGACAGCTGGCCCTGTCTATCTAGAGGCAGGGCCAGCTGTACATGCCCCCTCCACTGTCCGTTCCGCCAGTCAGCGCTGGAGGATCGGACAGGGGAGGGGGGGGGGGGAAATCCCTGCAGGGAGCCGAGAGTGACAGTCACGGCTCTCTGCAGGGACAGGATCGAGAAGTGAGCGAGCGACGGTATGTGTTTGCTCACTTCCCGATCTATTGAGCCAACGTGTGACAGTTTCATTGTCACACGTCAGCTCAAACTATGAGGCTGAGTGATTTTCACTCACCTCATAGTTCTCCTTTAATGATAGCAATTGTTTTTCCACAAGCAGTACTTTTATTTATTTTTTTCCACTGGGAAAAGAGCTATTTTAAGCCGAAATTGTTTTTCAATTATCACCACCAGAAAACACAGAGCCGCTTGAGGAGGTCTCATAGGAGCTAAATGTACCAGTTATAACTCCCCAAGAGTTTACCTTGATGAAGAATTGGGAATAAACATCCTGACAAGGAGATTTAATAGTAAAATGTTTCAATTATCAACAACTACGTATGCTTAAAGTGACACTAAACTCAGGAGTTAAATCTTAAATGCATTCAAGTACCTTAACTATAAGGGCTAGTTCACACCATATGCAGTTGTGATGCAGTCCGTTCAGTTTGACTGCTGCAGCCAAAATACTTCACAATACGCATCAAAAAGCATCAAAGAGCATGCAAACGCATCAAAACGCACCGGAACGTATAAAAAAACACAGAATTGATTGTGGCATCATCCAGGAGAAAAAACACATCTGAACGCATCAAAACGGATCGCAATGCACCTGCGCAGACGCACGCCGTTGTGATGCAGTTTCTGGTGTGAACTAACCATTTTAAAAAACTGTATCTTATTTGTGTATCACTCGTATGTCCTCAATTCATCTCTGAATTGATGATGACACTGTCCTTCCTTCTGGGGGGTGGCTAATTTTGTTTCCCATTGTCCCTGTGTGTGATGCAATGTAGTCACTGCTCCAAGCTCACTCCCATGATGGACTACAATCTCACGTTTAGTTTAATATTTGTATCAAGATAGTAGTCTATCATGGGAGTGAGTATAGAGCCACCCTCCAAAAGGAAGGACAGTGCCAGCATGAGTTCAGAGATGATTTGAGGATCTACAGCTGAGTGATACACAAATAAGCTACATTGTTGTTAAACAGGACAAGCTTTTTAAGGGTCTTCCCCCTGCTTCTATGTCCAAGCAGTATTGACACACAAAGGTTTAGCAAAATGTTAAAACAGAACTCAAGGAAAATTTTGTATTGACCCTTGCAGGGGGCTACCCCAGCACTGCGAGGGTTAAGTGCCCGTTTGTGTCTAGGTGCTAAAAAAAAGTTATACTCAACAGACAATCTGAGGCGGTTGTTCTTAGACCAGTGTCTGGAACGCCTCTCCCCCTTTGCTGCAGTGGTTTAAGTATCCCGGTGTCATCATGCTCTGTGCACTTTGCATAGACACTTTGCATAGCCTTGAGAGCAACAGAAGCAGCTTATCTGTGCAGCAGGGAGGGGATATGCATCAGTGATCACAGCCGGCTCGGATGGCCTGGTGAGGATAACTTTTTTTTAGCACCTAGACAAAAACAAACACTTAACCCTTGCAGTGTGTAGGTAGCCTCACAACAAGAATTAAAGGAGAACTATGGGGTCAGTGTTTTGCCCCATAGTTCTCCTTAGGGTAACAGGAGGACACAAACTAACGTCCTCCTGTTACCCTAAGCTCAGTATACCGCGAGCTAAGGCTCGCGGTATACTGAGACGCCGCAGCCGGAGCGGATCTCGACGTAGATGACGGGATCCGCCCAGCTGCGTGAGTGACAGCACGCTTTGTCTC